TTAGCTTGGTATCAGCTGATCAGCTTTGACTAGCATTTGTTTCACACAATCCTTAGTCAAGATCTGGCTTGTTTGCAAGCAAAGCAAAATTGAAGGCCTACACCAGTACAAAGCAAAATGGATGAGCATTTTGATATTTCTTGGAAGCACACAACCAGGGTGCACATTGTGCTTGCCCAAAATCAGGGCACAACCAGGGTGTGCATCTATGGTTGTTCCCCAGCAATATGACTTCTGCACGATTCCCTGTAGCTGTTGTAACTTCAACAGCTCAATCCTCCAATAATCCCTTTTAAAAAGGTTCAGCTGTTGACTTTCTGCTGGGGGGAATCAGCAAAAGATGCTACAGGCCAATTTCTTCCCAAACATGGTTTTTCGAAAAGGAGAAAAGAGGAAGGGCAGGAGATGTAGCAACATATCCTTAGCCCCTAATCAAAGATGGACAGTCCCTTCTGTCTTCCAAAGATTATGGCTGCTTCCAAGAACCACCTTCTTATCAGGGAGTATCTTGGGTTGACACAAAAGGGCTTAAGAACCACAATCCTCAGCCCAGGGCAGTGATATCACATTCAGCATTGGGGCAGATATGGGGGGTTCCTAGTTTCAAGAAGCCAGCCCTGGATTCATGCTAGGAAATGCCAGACCTTCCTTGAACAGCTCTGCTTTCTGCAAACAGGGACTGGCTTTATTAGATAGGTGAAGAGGACATCTGTGTGGGCTAAAAGGCTGGACTAGGCCCGAGGAAACCCAGTTCAAGTCCAGCCTGAGCCACAGAAGCTCACTGGATGTTTTGGGGCCAGTGTGTTTCTCTCTCTCCAAGCCCAATCTACCTTACAGAGTGGTTGTTCTGCATGGAGATCCCTATAAAAAGTCCTCTAGATCAGTATTTCTCAACCTTGGCAACTTTAAGATGTGTGGACTTCCAACTCCCAGAATTCTGGCTGGCTGGGGAATTCTGGGAGTTGAAGTCCACATCTTAAAGTTGCCAAGGTTGAGAAACAAAATGGTGCTGCATCAAGACAAACTCCCATTTACTTCCATGATTTGAACCAAGTTAAAATGTGAAACTGCACATCCTTGACTAGCTTGTTTTAAATCAGGTTGGGTAAAACAAGGTTTGGTTGCTATCAGCAACAGGAAGCAGCTGTAAAATAATCGAAATGGGGGTCCTGATGGAAGAGAAGCATTGATGTTGAGCTTCATTTTATACTCAGGGGGCTAGACTTCCTGGTTGGGATATGGTGGTAGATACTTCTTGTATTTATTAGAGAAAATGATATTCTTTCCTGTAATAAAATAAGGCTTATTCAGTTGTCGGTAAAGTGCGTGTAGTTGAAATAATAGACATGGCAGTCGCAAGGCCACCTAAAGGCTATTAAATTATCTAGCTGCCCCAGAGCACACCCAGCTTGATCAAGAAAGACCCACGTATCATTATGTTTAAAATTACTCAGAGCTGTGCTGCTGGTTTTCGGAAATGGCAAAGAGAGGCAGTTTAGTTGTGGTCTCCTGCACAGTCTTTCAAGGTTCACAGTCAAGAGTTGCCACCTTCTATGTGGGGCCTTCCAGATGTGTGACTACAGTGCCTATAATCCTCAGCCCCTAGGACCAAACATCTTGCATGCACAAGCTTGGGCTATGAGTCTTCCTATCTCCAGTCCCCAGGCATAGCCAGGAAAGCAAAGGCATGATCCTTTGTCCACCCTCCCATAATATGACAGCTCCTTACACTTTTCATCTGCATCTAATTTTTCACCTACAAGGGGAATATCATTTCTAACTCTCCAGGGGCTTTATTTAGATATTCTAAGGTTTCTCAACCTTAGCGACTTCAAGATGGGTGGACTTCAGCTCCCATGCTGGCTGGGGAATTCTGAGAGTTGAAGTCCACCCATCTTAAAGTCGCCAAGGTTGAGAAACACTGATATATTCATTCAGAGTGATTTTATCCTTCTTTCCTAATTCCATTCTTATCTTTAAGTTGGAGCTGATGCACAAAAATGTAGATAAATGTTTTCTACCTAGGCTTCTCCAGGCCAGGGAAATATTGGACCTGTTCACTCTCTCTCTGTCTGAACTGCTTGTTAACTGAACTGAACTGCTTGTTAACTGAACCAAACTGCTTGCGTTCCCACTGAACCATAAACTAACCCTGCAGGCTGGGTCTGCATAATACAGAGCCCCAACCAATCATTCCATACATGGTGCATGAACCCAGCCACTCTGTGGGTATGCTGGACCATAGTTAAAGATCTCAGCAAAAAGAAGCACTGAGCCTGGCCTGGTTGTAACTGGGATTGGAGGCTAAACTGGGTTGTTGTTTAATGTACATGATGGAAGAAGGCAATGGCAAATGACTTCTGTATTGTTGCAAGAAAACGGCACGGTATTTCCATCAAAGACCTGACCTTTTGAAGGGAAAGCAGAAATGCCCAGGGAGATCTAGAGGGGATGGAGAGGGAAGTTGGCGATCTCAGGAACTGGAGAACAGACTTCATTCATCAAGCGAAAGTCCCGCTCACGTGCACGTCTCTGAAAAGGGATGGAGGAAAGGTTGACGTGGGGAAATGTTAATGTAGAGCAAGGGGTGGGGAGGGGGGAGAAGAGGGCAGGAGAAATCCTCTTGCAATTGTGCCTTGCAACATTCTTCACTAACACCCCCTCTCGAGCTCTGCCTTCTCAGCGCTGGCAGGCTCTCACTGTTCATGTTCCATATCTCCAGGCTATACCATTAGCCTAGTTTCAAAACTGTTCTCAAATCCCTGGAAACAGCCGCGTCAAAGCCTTCTAGGAAAGAAGACTCAGCAGGTCATCAACTCGGAAAGCAGGCCAGTTTGGCTGCAACTGGATGGCTTCCGTTTCAGCACAAAACACTTCCATGGGGCTGGGTTTATGTTGTTCAGGGACTCCCAATCCATCCTTTAAATGAAAGGTCAAGCCGCAGCCACCATCCAGTGGGTGACAAAACCTCCACTCCAAAACGCCTCTGAGCCCAGCAAGGAAATCAAAAGCTTTTTATAAATGGCTTACAGGTCCCACCATTTAAGACACTTTGCAGTTCTGCTGAACTATGGTGAAACCATGGGTGAATGAATAGGCAACACATTAAGCCACTGACGTAGAGACTGCGATGGCTGGATTGGCCTAACAAGCCACATTCTCTCTCTGCTGAAAACAGCCTCACACATTGCCATCAAGAACTCTGATAAAACTCAGCCTGGGTATCTTCTGGAGATGATGGGGGTTGAAACCCAAAACTTACAAAGGGTCCCAAGTTGTGCTAACCTCTGCTTTAGAATATAAACCCTATAGACCAAAAGCCCACTTTTCCTGCCGTATAGTTGCTGAGCAAAACTGGTGAATTGTTCCAAGCTACAAATGCCTTATGGCATGTCTACAATGGTCTTCCCCAAGCTGATGAGTTGTACGTACGTTGGACTCCAGCAGATAAAGTCTCCAGTCAGCAAAGGGTGGGGCAGGTTGTTCTAGAAGATTGTGTCATGCAACAAATCCAGCATCTCATTCTGTTAAAGGACTTGCAAAAATCCACCAGTTGATTTCTCTACACATAGCTACACTAAACCTGTTTCAATTTAATGTCCCCCACGCACACATCATATACCACAGGAATGCCCATTCTTTATTTTTATCTTTGAGGCTTTCCTTGGAAGAAGCAAGTTTGCTAAGCTTACTTTCATAGGGAGATTCATGCAAAATGCAGTTTATTCCACCATTTGACTAACCAAAATAAATTATTAGGGGAGGGAAGCACAACTATTTTACCACTTAAGGGAAGGGGGGGCACCTGTGCATGATAACCTAGAGGGGACATGCTTAGTAACTTCTCACTAGTGACATTCCACAAAGAATTGATCATATGAAATTGGTATTAATCCGAACTATTTAAATTGTAAGAAACTTTTGAAGGACAGATATTTCTCTCCCTTCTCAAACTTCTTTCTAGCATACCCTGGAAATACTGCCATGTAGGAAATATGCTGTGCTGGAACATGATCCTTCCTGTGCTTGTGTTTCAGAGACAGGCAAGACTCCATCAACTTTTTGATGACTGCTGCATTATGCTGATGTTATTATTTGGATTACTGTGGATCACCTGGAACAGGGGCTGCGAACGAGAGGTTTCTTCCTTTTGTGGACCTCCGTACACACCCCAAATCTGATCCAGAAGGTTGAGGGGACCCTTGGAGTAGATTTGGCAGGAAGGGAAGTCCTGTGGCAGAGAGCTGCTTATACCAACCTGCAACCTTAAAAATGGGATGGTTGTTTGAACATTGACCGCTCATTTTAAGCCAAGGTTAGGTCTTTTGTATACACAGCATGGAAACCAGAATATGTTGTCTATAAACAGAACGGCTCTCCCCCAGCAAAACAAAACAAACATAAAACCTGCATGATGATCTGTTTTTAAAAATTCTTCAATAACAAACATGGTGATTCTTCTGGGAAAACACTATTTGGGAAAAACTTAGTCAAAATTCCATAAATTTCGCATAAAGCTAGCAATGCTGTCTCTGGAATGAGAATTTTATTGCATAACTGTTTCTAAGAAAGTGGATTAAAAGTGTCCTTAATCCAATGAAGTTATGCCAATGAAGGAAACTTTTGAAGCAGCTTATTAACTCAAGAGTTAAAGCAGAGAGGTTAGAATAGGCCTTCTAACCAAGGAACCAACTCGGCTAAAATTAATATTGCTAAAATGCCATTGAAAGAAAAAAGCCCGGTTAATTAAGACTAACTCATTCCCTTGGTTTCAGTGGAATGCAGCTAGGATTGAATTTAGCTTGATCGAGATGACGATATGAAGGCAGTGAGATGATGAGAGCAAGTCCAACAGCACATTGTTGCTCTAAGGAGACATGTGCAGAATCTAAGATCCACTGATGTTATCACCCACAGAAGCTTTCTTTTTCAGCAAATACTCTACAGGCAGTCATTAATGACGGGCCCCTCTACAATTACTGAAACAAATCACACTTAGAAAAATGAAAGCTGAATTTTATTGTTGTTTCCACAGCCAATCCTTTGACACAAACATGCATACGCAATTTGGCTACGCACACACCACTTTTTTTTTTTTTGGAAAAACATTAGTTATTAAACATACAACATACATCCTTACAAAAATGAGTCAAAATGCAAACTGAACTTTTTTTTAAAACAAACAATTTTTACTAGTTTCTTTCTTAAAAAAAATCTTTGTGTTGGGTACCATTTGTACAAACACAGTTAATTTAAACAAATCTGCTTTTAAGTTTCCTCCTGGTTGCACATAAAAAAGCTGCAATAGAAAATGAAGTCACCGAGGATTTCTTTCTTTTTTAAATAGCAGAAATAGGCAGTTTTGCCATGCACAAGAAGCAATATTAAATATTAGTTTTTCAAAAACAAAAAGAAAAAAAAACCACGTTTAAAAATATTTAGTTCAAGTCACAGAACTTTCTCTCATATAGAGAAATCCAAAACGCAATGCAGAATTAGCTGCCATATTTAATGGCGATTCTGAAAAGTAAAAAAATTACCTTCCAGAGATGATAAATTTCATTGATTTTGGCACAGAAAAGAAGTTATCAGCTTACCCAAGAACAAGAACGTGCTTTTTTTCTTTTTTATGGAAGAGAGGACATGGGGGGGGGGGGAACTGAAAGCAAGACTGAACAAGATAGTAGTTGCAATCACTTAAAAAAAAAATCTGTGCATCTCAGTCATTGCAGAATACTGTTTACAGCAGGGACATACTTTCCAGGTAACTGTTATTGCAACATAGATTTAATTTGCTTGGAGGTAGTCTCATCATTCAAATGTTTTGTTGTGTACCTATTGAGGAAAGAAGTTTTAGAATGTGTAAGTTGACTCTTTGCCCTTTCTTAAAAAAGAGCCTCAGATCAAGTACAAATTGTAGTGCTAAGATGCTGGACAGCTGCGAGTGTTAGGAGTAACAATTCAACTGGGAGTGCCCCATGCACCCTGGCGCTCTGACATTTTCGGTGCATCCTGGGAAACTTTTCAGTGATACATAACTACAATAAAACCACAGTTTAATGAACGGATGGGAGGGGAGTTCATTAAATTGCAAATTACATCATTCATAGTTATTTATGCAAATAATATAAATTGACATGTATGATACAAGCTGCTGCAAACAACCTAAAATTAAGGTAAATTAAACTGCCTTGTTCAGATTACTCTGGAAGCAACAGACTTGTCTGCTATTTCAGGAGGATGTCTAAACTGCTACAGACCATCCCATCCAAAGTCTGCTAAATAAAATCGAGGTGCCACTGTATTGTACTTCACATTTTTAACAGACCAGATTTTTTGGCACATATCAACATCTATTCACAAGAGATAGGTAAGAGCTGCCAAACTTCAGGAGAACCACAAAGTTGGCAATACTACACATTCTTTATTAGAATCCCCAGGAGGTGGGTTTTCCTACAAACAGCCCAAGAAAAAGCACAACGTCCTGAACATCTTTTGGGGTGAAAAATGAAAAGGCAAATTTTCAGGTGGGAAGGGAATAGATAGCCTTGGAAACAGCTGACTGGGCCTCCCAATGGGAGCACTGTACCAATATAACATTTTGCTGCACAAGTCACTAATTAATAGTAGTAAGCAAACCCCAACATCTCTCTAAAGTATGTGCTACAAATCTGCAGACATCCAGAATAAGCCCAGAATATCACAGTGGGTACAAGACATGTTCTCTCATCTTTATAAAAAGAAATAATTCCAGACTTCAAATAGAGACCCTGGAATCAATGGGACTTAATTATAACTATTGTAAGCCCCACTGATTTCAATGAGTCTACTCCAAAAATGTCGAAGTCTTGATCCAACAGCTCTATTTGAAAGAGTGCAGAAAATGCCTGCTGAAGTTTCAAAAATCAGAGGAAGGACTAAAGACTATACAGTCATATGAAAAAGTAAGTAGACCCCATTCAAATTTTTAACTTTTTCAATGTATTTCAACATACATATATTTGATCTTCATTTCAACAATACTGATAGATAAAGGGGACATCATACAACAAATACCATACACTATTTACATTTTGTAGTCCATTGTGTAATTTAAACAAACATAAATGCAAATATTGTGTGTGGAAAAAGTAAGTACACCCCTACATTTATCACTACCTCAAACACCTAAAATTAGAATCAGGTGCCAAAACATTAGATCGGGGAGGAACCCATCTTATGGAAATCTCAGATATTTAGTTCGATTTGCTCTTTGTTGCTTAGGTGTGCAGTATCACCATGCCGAGATCGAAAGAACTCTGTGAAGCCTTCAGAAAGAAGGTTATAGATGCCTATGAGTCTGGGAAGGGGTTTTAGAAGATCACCTAACAACTGCATATCAATCATTTCACTGTCCAGAAGATCATCTACAAGTGAGGATTTCTAACAACTGCCAACTTGCCCAGTCCAGGCTGTCACAGTAAGTTCAGCCTGAGAGCAGAATGCAAGATGCTGAAAGAAGTCTCTAAGAACCCCAGAATTTCATTACGTGACCTACAAGTAGCTTTTGCCACAACTGATATTGAAATGCATGAGTCTACCATTAGAAAGAAGCTGCCCAAGCTAGATCTACATGGGAGGTGTGCCAGGAGGAAACCTTTGCTGTCCATAAAGAACATCTGAACAAGACTAAAGTTTGCTCGTGAACACCTAGGCAAAGACCAGGACTTCTGGAACACCATGCTCTGGGCAGAGTTATCTGACCACAGTACCAGAAGAAATGTTTGGCAAAAACCAAAGACAGCATTCCACCAAAAGAACCTGATATCAACTGTAAAGCATGGTGGTAGAAATATTATGGTTTGGGTCTGCTTTGCTACATCAGGGGCTGGGCAGCTCACCATCATAGAATCCCCTATGAATTCTTCATTGTACCAGAGGGTGCTTGGGGATAACGACAAACTATCTGTCAGAAAATTGAAGCTCAACCAAAAGTGGACCTTGCAACATGACAGTGACCTTAAACATTCCAGTAAATCCACCAAGGAATGGCAAGAAAGAAAGAAAGAAAGAAAGAAAGAAAGAAAGAAAGAAAGAAAGAAAGAAAGAAAGAAAGAAAGAAAG